TATCACCAGGAGGATTTTGTGCTGTATTTTGTTAAATAATTTTGTTGCAGCGCTACAGTTTTGTTGCTTGTTTGAAGGAAAGAAACTAGTTTATGCAACACATTTGACATTTTCATTGTTTTGATGATTAAAATGGGTGTGTTTCATATTCACTTTGCACTAGAAATGGTTTCGCAGAGACTTTTAGTATCACAGCCATGATTTAGCTTTTATTTTTTATTGAACGTATCGTATGTATCGTATCGTGGCCTGTGTATCATATGTATCATATCATATCGACAACTTCTTAATGATACCTAGCCATAGTGAAGAGGCAAACCTACATACAGTATGAAGTTGCAGTATAAAGTTTCAAGTTTTAAGTAATTTAAAGGCCCTATTACACAAAACATATGAATATAAATAAAACAAAACACAATCCATACATGTTTTTAATGAGGAAACAACCCTCTAACATACACTCCCTGACAAAAGTCTTGTCGCTTATCCATTTTGTAGAAACAAAAGCTTATAACCTGACTTTAAATTAATCGATTGGTTTTAGAAATGTCTCATATGAAAGCTAAAACCCTCCCAAATTATGCTCAATATACTAAAATAAATTTGCTTCACTGAAGAAAGATTGATCATTTAATGAACACAGAAACGTCAGATTTTGGCAAGACAAAAGTCTTGTCGCCTACAGAAAATTGAACAATAATTTACTTCAAATACAAAAATATGTTGCATAACGTCAGTGAATTAAGTAGTGGTGCTGTGAGATCCATATTTAATATCTTGTATGATTTCCATGAGTTTGAAGGACTGCATCCATGCAGTTCCACAATGATTCATACAATTTGTTGATGAAGTCATCAGGAATAGCAAAGAAAGCGTCTTACATGCCTCCCAGAGTTCATCAAGATTCTTTGGTTTTGCCTTCCATGCTTCCTCGTTCATTCTACCCCAGATATGCTCAATGATGTTCATGTCTGGTGACTGGGCTGGCCAGTCCTGGAGCACCTTGATCTTCTTCACCTTGAGAAACTTTGATGTAGAGGTAGAAGTATGCGATGGAGCACCATCCTGCTGCAAAATTTGACCCCTTTTATGGTTGGGAATGTAAGAGGTAGCTAATACTTCTTGATATTTTAGGCTATTGATATTGCCTTCCACCCTGCAAATGTCTCGCACAGCCCCATACTGGATGGAACCCCAGACCATGATTTTTCCGCCACCAAACTTAACTGTTTTCTGGGTGAATCTTGGATCCATGCGGGCTCCAGTAGGTCTCCTGCAATATTTGCGGCGGCTGTGATGTAATTCAACTGAGGATTCATCTGAGAAATCCACCTTCTGCCACTTTTCCAGTGTCCATCCTTTTAGCAGGCTGTGGGCCTTGGCAAATGCCACATGGTTTTTTAATTGCCTTTTGTTTAGTGCTGGTTTCTGTGCACTGATTCCACCATGGAGGCCATTTCGAGACAGAATTCTACAAACTGTTCTGGTTGACACAGGGACTTGAGGTGACCAGGCCTGGTGGAGCTCTGCTGCAGTGGAAAAGGGGCTGGCCTTGGATTTTCGAATCAACAAACGGTCCTCCCGAGCAGTTGTCTTGTGGGGTCTGCCGGACCTGGGCTTGTCAAAAACATCTCCAGTCATTTCAGATCTTTTTCTTATTCTTTGTACTTGACGCTGAGACACATTGAAGGTGTCAGCCACCTCAGCAGTGGATCTGGTCTTCAGCCTCTTAATAATTAATGCTTTGGTCTCAGGGTGGATCTTAGGCATGTTGTCAGAGTTCAAGTTGCAGTTGATGTGAAGGTCTGGTGTGCGGGGGTTCTTTTTATACACACCCACTAACTGACTGATCAGTAACTGATCATGGGTGAGACTTTAATCTAGGATTGGGTGCATCATATGACAAGGCGACAAGACTTTTGTCTTGCCAAAATCTGACCTCTCTGTGTTCATTAATGATCAATCTTTCTTCAGTGAAGCAAATTTATTTCAGTATATTGAGCATAATTTGGGAGGGTTTTAGCTTTCATATGAGACATTTCTAAAACCAATCGATTAATTTAAAGTCAGGTTATAAGCTTTTGTTTCTACAAAATGGATAAGCGACAAGACTTTTGTCAGGGACTGTAGATTAGAAAATAACATAATATGGGCCCTTTAAAGAACATGGTAACTGCTTTTTTACTTATGATGTCACAATGTCGCTTTTTTATACTGAACTAAACTGAACATTTCAATATTGTGTAAACGCTTGGTGAATCAAATTTAACAAAAATCAAAACCCCACAGTAATTCTGAATTGTTTTTGCGGCATAGTAATGTTTCCCTCCATGTTGTACTTCAGTCATCTTTTTCTCCCACAGATCAAATCATTTTTTCTGAAACAAATGATAGAGTATCATTTCAAACTGAGAACGTTATACATAAATCCTTTTTTATATGCACCAGTTATAACACAAACCAACTGAGACACAACCGCCAAGAAAGACAAAGGGAAACCTAGATTGTAGATTGCTTTTGGCCAGAATTGAAAAAGAAGAGATGTTTTTGCCAGAAGCTTTGATTGAAATTCAAGAGCTCACGGAGGACCACTGTCATTCTCTGTCACACTCTATAATACATTGTAGCTACATTTATGTATAACGTTTGCTTTGATAAAAAATGTCACGATGGTAATACGCAATAAATTAGAGACTATAGCGATAGCTCCCCTGTTGAGCACTGGGCTGTTTAATTAGAGAAGCAAAGAGGAAATCAATCTGGGTGAAAAATCGATGACTGGTAAAGAGCTATACTCTAGGATTATGTCGTTTAGCTCAGCAGCCCACGCACCACTTACGATAACTGCTCCATCTGACCCTATCCTCTGTATTCTCTGTTCTCACACAACTAACTTTCATTTAAGCATCGTACTACTATCTTACAGACTTCTGTAATGGACAAAGGGCCTGACAGGTTAAGATCAAAATACAATCAAGCATTTATACAGTGAAAAGTCAGTTAAAAACATTTTATTTTCAAAAAGCATTTTGTAATTGAAATAGTTGATCATTTCCTATACCTATGTTTTATTTTGTATGTGATTTTAACTGACTATAGCACTTTGAGAAATGCTTTTCAAATGTTAAGTATGTTCATATACACTTTTTTGTTTGTTTGTTTTTCTTATTACTTTCTACATGTTAGACACATACAAAAGACATACACAAATTTCAAACTTTTGACTCTTAGTTCCTATTTAAGGTTATGCAGTTTATTGGGGCTATAGAAAAATTTCCTCTGCAATAAACTATCAAGACACACAGTTTCCACAAGATGAGATGGGAGACGGGATTGGGTCCAGAAGAATGACACAAGATGAGATTTTGACATACTTTGTAATAAAGAAATCCAATTCACAATTTTAGATTTACTGTATTTCATATATTTGCTGTCATTGTAGCCCTGATGGTTGGAACTACGTATCTTCTCAAGAGGTGCAACACACAAGCTCTTAACAGTTTCCAAATTCAAATGTATTTACTAGGCCTGTCACCATCAAAAAAATGTGCTGTGCAATATACAGTATTGCTGAAATAAATATAGATGATAAATGATAATACTGAAACCTAACCATAAAGAACTGTCCAGAAAAAAGTACTGTAAATGGACAGTGTTGGTAAAAATATGAGCTGCAGTAAATAACAGAATGAAACACTTTACTAATTAGTTTGTATCTATAATGAGTCATAGAAGTTCTTTATTCAACCTTCTACAGCTCAACCCCCACCCCCCACCAGCAAAAATAAAAAATAATTGTTTCATCTATCTCCTCATGACATTGTTGTGACAGGCCTGGTATTTACATTGGGATGGGACAAAGAAGGAGGGAAAACATCATCATTTTCCTCATGTGTGCACAATCTTGTAGCAATTTTATGTCACAAGTATTTGGGGCACAAGATCTTGTCCAATCCTTACTATCTAGACGTATATGTTAATGATTAGGAGTATCAAGCTAGAGGATTTTTATGTTTCAGATTGACTGAGGAAACCAGAGCACCCAAAAAAACACCCAGAGGCTGAAAGAATATGTTAAAGGGACAGTTCGGAATTTTGGACAAAGGGCCTCATTTTCCTAGTTTTTCCCACTTTTAAAAAAATTCCATCCAGTCCTTGTACTTGCAGAGGTAGCTGGTGCTAGGTATCAACGGCCATAGTTAGCCTGCTGCTAACAATAGTCTTATCCACTCCACAAAGCACCCAAAGCAAAACAATTATTATGCCAGACTGTCGGCGTAAATGTCTGTGTCAATAGAATAATTTTAGAAGTAAAACCAACCTTGCATTTGAAAGATTTATGTCTGAGCAGCAGCAGCGAGTTGTACTTCCTGATAGAAAGCTTGGCAGCAGCGGAGTGATATATGAGAAAATAGTCCCACAAAATGCGACTATTCATGTGATGCAAGGTTTTATTTCAAACATTATTCAAATAACACAGACATTTACATCAACAGTGTGGTGTATTAATAGATTTGCTTCGGGTGTTTTGTGGAGTGGGACTATTTTTAGTGGCAGGCTAACTATGGCCATTGACACGCGCTAGCCTAGCACCAGCGACCTTTGCAAATACAAAGACTGGATGGAATATTTAAAAGTGTCTCCACATGTATCCATCACTCTGGCTAATGAGGAAATGAGGTCCTATGTTAAAAATTTTCAAAACTGTCCCTTTAACTCCAAAGTCTTTGTACTTGTTATCCTCTAAGTATTTTCTGTAGCATTTCCATTCCTCATATTAGAGCATAGGGTTCAATTATAGCTCCCAGTCCCATCCCCCTCCATGCAAAAACACAGGACCATTTTATGATTACTGTACACGACCTTGCATTTGAAAGACAGCAGATTTATGTGGACATGAGTAGTGATACAATGCACCACTGACCATACTCACTGCAGCAAAAAAAAACATACTTCTCTCTATAAATAGCCCCTAAATGCAAACCCCAAAAGGAGCTTACCTGAAGAGATGGAGGCCAATCGGAACTCCTCTGAAGGCTGTACAGGGGCGACAGGTTCATAAGGAGATGCATCGTCCACATCTGCACCTGTAACCACAAACAGCACATGATGGAGGAGGGAGCGAGGCCGCGCAGGAGTCAAGAATAAGTCTGAGCTGCTACATGTGATGAATGTGGACAGAGGAATGTACTGACCGCAACGGATCCAGGCCTTTTTGGGACTGGGTTTTACAAATGGGAGATTTTGATTGATTCTAGGGAAAAGTTTTTTATCATGAATAAGCAGATTGTGTTTTGATAGAATGTGAAAGATTTTGTAAGTCCCTTGTAATAATACTTAAATATTTAAAACAGTAAAAAAAAAAAAAAAAAAAAGAAAAGTGCGAAAGTGTAACTTGGTTGGGTTGGTTGGGGGTCCATCACCTTTTTGTGTCTATGGATATGTACATTTTTTGTTTCTATGGATATGTGATTCATCTGTTCAGGATGTTCTGCAGTTTGACATTAAACAGATCTACCTTTTATTTATTCAATTTCAGGTGGTTTTCTTGCTCAAAAATACCTATAAAAACAGGCATTCTGACTGTGAGCACTGAGCAGGGTTGCCCCTCCACAGATCTGACCTGTAAGTCGGTCTGGTTTGGTCTCCATGAAGATAGGAAGGTTTAATACCATACTGTGAAACATTTCAATAACATCTCCATGAACATGAAGAAAAGCATTTGACGATCCCCCCACCAGAAAAGTTACACAATGTGCATTTAAAATCCCATTTATATGTACAACTCAATAATTTGTCACAATGCCTGGTGTCAGGTGCCAGGTGACTTTTTCTGTGTTGTTCTTAAAAACATTATAATGTGTAGTCATTTTAGATTTTTGTTTGTAAAAATAGTAGTGTTTTTGTTATGCAAGACTCAGCGGATCTCACCCCTTGAAATCTGATGAACAACTTTTGATAACAGTTTTTTGTCTGTCTGAAGTTTGCATAAACACAAGACTTTTTATCCACCAACAATGTTTTTAAAAAAGCTTTTTGCTGGGGAAAAATGAAATTAGCCTCAACTGAATGTATCCCTCCTATTTGTCTGCTTCTCTGTGGGCCCTAATCCCACATTTAAAATTCATAGCCATTCGGTGTGATTGAGACAGACCCTCTAGTGTGTAATAGCTCTGCACTGGCAACGCTGCAAAGACACAGAGACGAGGAAGAGATGGCCCACTGCCGCTGCAAACAGAAATGATTCAACCTGTTGGCAGGAATAAAAGCTCTAAAATGTGAGGAAATATCAAATTCCAAATGTAGTATACTAAATGGATGTTTTTCATAAGCCATTAATCACATTTTTTATGTGTGAGGTGCTCTTGTGTTTTAGACTTGTTGCATTCATAATAGCGACATTACATGTTTATACGATTTTTTCACAATATAGCAACGTGTCATATTTTACACACAGGTTGTTGATTGTGGCTTGAAAAAAATATGCATATTGCTAATACTATTAATTGAATTAATTTTCCTAATAGCTAAGACTCAGCATGTGCAGATTTTCTATTTGGACAGGTATTATACATATGTAAACATTTTTGGACTATGAGTATACACTGTGAGTCCAGCCAAATCCATGAGCAATGTTCTTATGATGGATATTGATAAAAGACATATATATATTTAAATCATTTAAATATTTCAAACCTGATATAAAGTGTTTACTGTTGAGTATAAAAATATGTAATAATGGAATATAATAAATAATGCTCTTCCAGATGAAGAAGTGTTGGTAAGTAGCCATAGCTGTCTTGCAGTAGATTGGAGAAAGCAAGGCCAATCTGCGCCATCAACCCTTCCAACTAGTTCTAGGCAAGGTGGAAGAAATGTCTTGCCTAATGACACAATGACAGTAATCACTACAGTCACTTCTGCTTTACTGTGACAATTGCATTCTCAGTAGTCTCCCATCCACTAGGCCCAAACCTGCTTAGGTTATGAGATCAGACAAGACTGGGCAGTACTGGGCGGTATTGCAACATATTAACAGAACACAAAACATTAGACTCCTTTCAGCCTATACTGACAAGTTCAATACAGCAGAGCCAGTCAGTAGAGTACATATATAGCTATTGGCATGTGTGTGTGTGTGTGTGTGTGTGTGTGTGTGCGCGTGCATGTGTGTGTGTGAGGAGAGGAGAAGGCACATAAGGTCAAGAAACAGCTCCAAAAGTTCAGACTTGACTGCTGTCCTCAGTACGTCCTGCTATAGACCACTTTTCTGCTGGGTCAGAACCAGACTCACAGGTGAGCTATATCCTGCAGAGCTAAAAGATGGTTCTAGTGCAAAGTAAAATGAAACAGCAACATGACTCATGAGCTCATACTAAAGCCATTGTAATAAAAATGTACAGATATTCAAACAATTATGCACACACCTGAACTGAAATGTCTATCTTGAATAGAATTGGTGTGAAGGAGAAGAATAACAGTCCCGTATCAAGGAATTGATAGTTGTATATAAAATGCCAGAGATTCCAATAGTTAAATTGGTGAGCCTCATATTTCTAAATATGTTTAGAAATATGCATCCTCCCCCCACAACTTCAAGAATCCAGTCAAAATTACCAACAGCAGGCATCAAACATTTGTACTCTTTACAAATGACTCTATTTATTATTGCTTTAGCATATGACTCTCAAAGAGAACAACAAAACACACTTTTGCTTTTATTGTTCACTGAGAACATGCATATGGTATTTGTTCTGTATAAATCATATGTCATTTATGCCTCACCCAGAGTGAGGTTGTCTGACTTCAGATCTCAGTCTAATTGCAACAATTAGCCCCAAGGCCACGCTCTTCAAGAGCCTTTCAAGTGAGGAGGCGAGCAGTTCCTCAGCAAATAGTCACCTTCTTTAATGTGTTGTACAGCACAGACTGTGGTGATATTGCTTGTTTCAAAGGATATTTCCTGGTGGACTTTGAATGTGTCTCTTTGTGCACCTAGAACATGCAGTACACAAGTTGAGACTGAATGAAGAAAGCCAAACATCTCAAGCCATTTTCTTCTTACCACTTTGTTATGATTGCTCTGACTAAGAAATAGGCCAGTACATTTCAAGCTCATCTTGCATGAATTAGAACAACAGAAGTAATGTACATAAATATTACATTTTGTCTTCTACTATGTCTGGTTGTATAACAGTAGCAATACAATAGTAGGTCATAAAAATGTCAGGTATGAAAGCAAACCGAAAAATGAACCTAATAGCATGTTGTTGCTGTAGTTGCAATGAGGGATCAGATTAACAGGACATATTAATAGAACATAAACTTATATCTGATATTACTTGAGCTTTAAGTTGAATAACTTATGTAGGTATCAGAAAGTCTTATCTGTAAATAGCTATTTCATTTTGTAGTGTCAGTAGATGATGTCATTAGTGATGTCACTTCCCTTTTCTGCAGATCTCATATCATGGATCTATAATAACAATAATAACACATTCTCTCTCTGTCCTGGTGTCCATTGGTACTGCAGCTCCCAGAAACTTCCCAGAACTTTCCCATAGAACACAATGCATTTTTTGGGAATTCATGCTGCCCATGTTCAGCTGACAGGACACTGACAACTTTCACAAAGGTCGGATTTGTAGGGATTATTCTCTATTTTCACAACATGAACTTTTCTGGTCTTCCAATCAGAGGCTCTGCTGGACATTTGGATATCATAGGAGAGTAAACTAGTCCATCTCTGACAAGTGGCGTTCTCCAGATGCTACATTCCACCTGTAGCAGATTCAGACAATCCCAGACGAGACACACATATTTTTATGATGCCTTTGAAAGAGCCTGTGGTGCTGTTTTGTACCTCACATGGCATTTGTGAAGACTCTATCATGAGTCAGCCCCCACAAATAACTGTCCATGTCATGCCTTGAAATGTGTGTAGATCTCACCAGGGCACAGCTGGCCAAAGTCACCATGACAGAACTATCGCTCTCTTCCCAACTGGAGATATATTAGCATCACGGACAACCCTGCAGGCAACCTGACCAGCCAGCCCAACCAAGGCCCTCATTTTCTCTGGGAACATCCAGACTCTTGGAGAGTGCTTTATGTGGAAGTAAACAAATAAGAAAAGGAAAATTTGAGAAAACCAGTGTTCTGTAGGGATACTACCTACGCCCATCTTTGACAACTGGGACTGTCTCATTAAAGCTAAAATGAGAGCCTTCACAGGGTAACCAAAAAGAACAACAATCCTGCAATGACAGCAGCTGATGTACTAGCAGCAGAACTACACTTTCCCCGACAGTCTCTGTCAAGACAGAGTTGTTTGGTCATGCTTGCTCCAGAGAATTATGCAGTTGTGGGTCTGGCGACATTGGAAGACAGACTCACAAAGCAGAAGACCTCGACCCAGACTCCATGTACTGTTTTATCCTTGATCCGAACTTTTGTGTTACCAAGGTGCTGAGCTGCAGGTCAGCTGAGCAGCTCTGGAAGCACCTCTCTAAGAGCAGTTGGCAGAAAAGAAGAGTGGGTTCCGATTCAACCCTCCTGCTTCCCCTCATTTTGGAGGAACATGGGAACAAGAGATCAAGTCCATGAAAGCAGCTCTCCAAGTAGTGCTCCAAGACCTGACTGTGGCAGAACCTGTGCTGCAGACTGTGTTAATTGAAGTGGAAGAACTACTCAGAACAAAGCCCAATATCCACAATAAAGTTCCCTTGATGTACCAGCCCTCTCCATGCTCTCTCTCTGATCGGAGTCCATCTCTCAGATACTATCTGATTAGCACACAACAGAGTGTCCCACTCTATCACAGAAGGATTTGAATACTATTACTACTGCAGTTGACAAAGAGGACCAAAGGGGTCTGTTGCCCCAGTCCCAGGGTCCTAGAGGCCCAGAATTGAGTGACAATGCATACATTAACAATACTTTTACTTGGTTTTCAACAGTGCCTCCCCATAGCACCTCTTAATGACTTTAAACTGCACACTAAAAATTAAAAGAACAAACTGCGAACCCTGAGGATGTCCTGAATGCTCACAGTGGGGCGTCTTGTTGTATTTGAACTAACGGCTCT